GGCTGTGCTTCTCCTGCCGCCACGGCTGCCACTGCTGCAGGTTTCCCAGCAGCAAAGTTTGAGAAACATTTTCTCGCTTTTCTTCCCGTTCAAATCCCATCTTGTGTTTTTTGTGGACCAGCTCTTTTGTTCTTTCACTCGTAGGGTGTTTTTCAGTTGCTCCTTTTTGGGGCCCTTTCAGACATCATCTGAGTCTTCAGTGGTGAAGAGGGGGAGTTGGGGGAGAAAAAAGTGGTTATTAGGTTTCCTGACTGGCTGGCTGCAGCGCCTGAATAGGATGTTCGTTCGGCACATTCAAAAGAATAATTGCATGCGTGGGCCTAGTCGCGAAGGGGCAGGCCTGGCTCATTTACTGGGCTATTTTTAGCCTGCTTTTCACCATCGTTTGTCCCATTAAAACTAGAATATGGGTAGGGAACAAACACACAAGCAGGGCATGAACATGGCCAGGAAGAATGAGTCTTTGATGAGATCCAAGCGCTAATGGAGCACGTCCCATGGCGTTTGTACAGGTCTGCCATGGGGTGAGGGGTTTCTGTGCTGGAGTATCAGAGCTCCTGCCTCTGTGCTGCTCGCCTCTCAGCCAGCCAGAGACGTTGCAAGAAGGGACCACATTTCTCTGTAGCTCCGTTTCTCCCTGTTGTGTGCCATTTCTGCTTCCACACGGAGGGGGATGTAGTCTCCTCCACAGAGAGTCCACTTCTGTTGTTCACCTATCTGTTTTGCCCCTATGCTCTCCCCGGCGAGGTCATTGCTGACGTTCCCTTCCACAGTGATTGCAGTCCTGTAAGTATCTCCTTTTCTGCCCTTGTTTTCCAGAGTGGGTCTTTGTGGGCCTGGTGATCCTGGGGGCGTTCCTGTTCTTCCTCCTGGTGGGGATCTGCTGGTGCCAGTGCTGCCCACACAGCTGCTGCTGTTACGTCCGCTGCCCCTGCTGTCCTGAGTCCTGCTGCTGTCCCCGGGCGCGTGAGTGACCCAGTGCAAGCCTGGCGAAAATCTTCTCCTGCACTTCTGCTCGCAGGCAGAACAGGAGGAGAATCTGCTAATATTGCTTCCTTTACCCTGAGCACTTTGCTTGACTGAAGAACTAGTTCTTAGGGGGTGAAGCATCTGACCTATTGCTGAATGGTTGAGCGCTCAAAGTTAATTACAAATGTAATTCCCCAAGCCCTTGCTGCCTTGGCAGCTGTGCCTGCTTCTCCAAAGTGTCGTGCTCCCCTGCCAAAGTTGTCGTCATGTCAGTGAATGTTGTGGGTCAGAGCTAAGAGCATCCTGGGAGGTTTTTTCCCAGCAGTGCAAAGCAGCTGCCCTTTACAACAGTGCAAAATCTTTGCAACCCAGCAAGGTTCCTGGTCAGGCTCAGGCAGATCTGTCAAGTCTCATGAGCCTCATCCCTGCTACTTGAGTCATCACTTGTTTTTAAAGCTGAACTGCTGCTAAATCATGGTAGCGGTCATGCCAGCTGCAAGACGCTGAACGTCCTTCAGTGGCTGGGCGTCTTGCAGTGCTCATCTGACCTGCCATGTGCATTTTTTAAACTCCTCTCAGTCTTCTTTGAGGAAATTTCGTTTGATCCTCGCAATTTCATTTGTCCAGTTGTCCCCAGAGTCGATGATGGTTTGGCCATGTGCTGTGTGGGTCTGCGAGAAGCTGGTGTGATGCTGACTGCTGTTCTTTCTCTTTTGCAGTGTATGTAGCAGGCAAGGCTGCAAAAGCCGGGTACCCTCCTGCAGTCTCTTCCATGCCGGGTCCGTACTACATCCCCAGCGTTCCTGTAGCTGGTGTCCCTTCCCCTGCTGTGCTGAGGGATAAGTCGCACCCCCCTCCCTTGGCCCCAAGTGACTCCAGCGGAGGAAGCCAAAATGGTAATTTGCGGTGCCATGTGCAACATTCAGTTCTCTTACTGGGAGCAGGGTTGGGAAAGGGAGGAATGATTGTCACTGGGAGAACAGTGGTATGAACAGAGGAAACTCAGAAAAACTGCATTTTAATCCTGGCTCTGACAATGACCCTTGAGTCCCTTAGGGCCACACATGGTCCAACTTTTCTACTGGCATCAGAAAAGAGTCAGTTTGTGGGTGCCTAATTAGGTCAGCAGTGAATAGGAGGCCGAGTTCATGCCCGAGATCCCTCTCATTACTGCTGCAAACATGTACTTGTGGATGACAAAAGGGTGAAGGTGGTTTCAGGGGAGCAGAGGTAGTGACCGTTCTCCCCTTAGAGCTGATGCCTTGCAACCTGCTCTCTCGTGGTGAACTGTTCTTCCTGCCCTCTGTAGGGCACTGCTCGCCCTCCAGTAGCAGTTTTTGCTGCAGCATATTTTACTGTCCCCATGTCATTTTGGGCACAGGGATATGCTCCCTCAGCATTTCTGCCCAAGAGCATTTGGGGCTGGACCCCCTCCCTTGCTTTACAGAATTCAGTCAGTCACTTTTTTTGTTCAGCCTTTGCATTTGTGAAATGTGAGTGATAAAATGCTTCTATCTAGAAAGGAGTTGCGGATCAATGTCAGACGTAGAGTATCAGTATGATGACTCTATGTTGGTGAGGGTCACTTCTCCTGCTGCAAAGGAAGCTGCCATCAAGGAAGAAGAGAGTAGCTGTTTAGCCACATGCTGGCATTTCAGGATCAGAGTGGCTGTCTAGATTCAAACATGCTGCAACAGAAGTGACTCTCAGCAATGTAGAGTCACCATACTGACACAGTATGTTTGCCACATGTCTGATTTCAAAGCACCTCACTAATTATCAATTGTTAAATTTGCTCATGACAATGTGTTGATAAGGGGCTTCTGAAAAGACAAGATCAAATAGCATAATCAAATAACTAAGATTTTTGGAACAACCCTACACATCATTCTGCTGCTCCAGTCAGTATATTAACCTTTCTGGAATTACAAAAAGTATTTTCCTTCAACAATCATACTTGTTTTTCCCCACTGATATAAAAACAGAACTCTAGAGTGGAGCATTTTCAGATAAGAAATAAATCAATCACCAGTCCAAAGCAGAACATATCCAATTCAAAAACCTTTGACAGAAAATGATGAATGACAGCCCAGTGCGTTATTTTTTTCTCCTGTGAAAAATGTCACTGCATGTAGAGCATAGTGTTGGCCGTGGGAACTCCAGGGACTTTTTAAGAGTCAGATCACAGCCCCAGTCTCGTCTCTGCTGTACGGTACTAGCAGAGCACAAATGCAGAGTGAAAAACGGTGGATGCATTTGGTAGCCAAATGGAACAGCTCTTAGTATCCAATGTTCATTACACAGAAAAATGCATCTATTATATAATGCAAATCAGCTGGCTGGACTTAATCCCTCAACTCAGAACTTGACAGAAAATACTTCGTATTGCAAATAAAACCATTATTACAGATTTTTAACTGTTGTGGCAAGACAACAAAGGTTCATAAGCTTTTTTATTTTTAAGAAATATTTTTTGCAGTTGTATGGACAAACCCTTGGTCTGGATTGTGCACCTGTTGTTCAGGGTGTTCCTTGAACTGTGGAACTAAGGAAGGATGATACCCTGCACTCTGTTCGTTTTCTCTTAAGGTTCTCCACAAAGCCACAATATCCCCTAATTACAGGCTCTAGAAGAGAAAATACGATGTGGCTGTTCTAAGCTACCTGCTTGCTGGTTGGCCAGACAGCAGGCTAAACAAAACAGGTAATAGTTGAGTTTATAATAAAGGC